GCGCCCCCGCCCGCGCCTGAGGTCAGAGCTCCGGAATGCGCGACCTGAGCCGGGAGCGGGCGGCACTGGGACCCGAGGGCGCCTCTTCCGCGCCGCCCAGCTCGGCACCCCCTCCTGGCCACACCCCAGCCCTCGGGCTCCGTCGCCGCACACCCCTCTCGCAGGCTCAGAACTGCCCCGCAGCCCTCCGCACGCTGGAGCGCTGTTCGGGGCCAGTGCGCTTTCGCCGAGGGGCCCAGCTTTGTCCTCCCTTGGGGGAGGGCAGCTGCTGGGTCTCAGGTACGCACAAACGCCACCTTCCAGCCCCACGTAGACTTCGGTCCCCTAGGAGGGGAGGGTCTGCTCCTTCAGACCCCCAGCCACTCTCCCCAGGTGGGGACTCCCCTCCAGGCTCCAGCCCCCGGGCAGCCCCAGGTCCTGGAGAGCTGCCCCTCCATGCCCACACACCCCGAGTCCCGGTCCCAGCCCCTCCCTCAGCCAGAGGTCCAGACCCGCCGCCCCTCTTAGCTCAGGCTCTGGCCCTCGGACGCTCCCCGTGAACGAATGCCCAGGAGCTCACGTCCCCAGCCCACTCCGCTCCCGCCCCGAGTCCTGGCCCGGCCTCAGCCTTCTAGGGACTCATTGATTCCCATCCCGTCCCTCCCGTTGCATTCAAGAACCCTAAACCCTAAGTCACTCGCAGGGGTCCCCGCAACCTCACCTAAGCAGTCTGCGGCGACTGTGGCCAGAGGAAGGGCGACAGCTGCAGACTGAAAGGGTCTGGGCTTGGGTGGGGTTGGCTGGCGGGGGCGGGGGCGGGGGCGGGCCGGAGTCTAGGCTGGAGCTTGGGGCGCCGGGCCCAGCAGGACTTCCCCGAGCTGGGGCTATCCCAGCCCCGCCCCCAGGGTGGCACCCAGACAAGGCCCCACCCCATCACACTAGACCCGCGCGCCCCCCCCCCAACCCCCCACCCCACCCCGGCCTCGGTGGGAGGCGGAGGGCTGAGGTCACCGTTGTCTTGGTGACAAAACAGGAAGACACAACAGCTGGCGATGGGGGCTCAGGGGGGCTCCCCCCCCAACACACACAGCCCTCAAGAAGTCTCCAAAGCTGGCCCTGGAAGGCCGTTGCCATGCCAACCCGCCAGCTTAGTGTTTGTTTGGGACGGCGCCCCCAGCCTGAGACTCACCTCACTCACTTCCCCTCTCCCTTCCTGCCCCTCCCTCCTGGTCTGCCCCAGCGCTGCTCTTCACGAGCGACATCTGGATTGCAGAGTTCGGGGGTCAGGCCTCTCAGATTAATGGGGGGCCCGTGGGCTAGGGTATGTCTCCAGACCCCTGAAAGAAGAAAAATGTCCTGGGCTTTACGATGCTCCTGGCCTGGGGTCCCCGACTCTCAGGTCCCCAAAAGAATTATGGATGGATTCCCGTGTTTGAGGATCTGAGGGGGGAGCAAAATGGGTCCCGCATCCTCCAGAACTGGGGTTCGCTGCGGGAGGGAATGGGGCGCTGGGCTCCTGGGTCCCAGACGACACAGAAGATAGAGGCGTGGGGGAGGGGGATTAGCAAATTGCCTGGCATCCAAGGCGGCAAGAGTTTGGGGTACGGACTCCCGTGTTCCTCAAGTCGGGGACAGGAGGGGTTGATTCTTGGCTGGAGGGAGCCCTGCGCGCTCAGGCTCTCCGGAGCAGAAGTGGTGCAAGCCTCGTCTCCTGGGTCTGGACGGAGAGATATTTTTGGCCCGCATTCCTGGCTCCGAGATGAGGGAGGGGCTTCCGAGCCGCTGAGGGCGCGCCCGGGGCCAGGGCTCCCGGGCCTGCCTGGTCCCCAGAATTGGGGGGGGCGAGGGTGGGGAAGTGCGGGCTCCTAGCGGGTGGGGCGGCCTCGGAAACCGAGCTGCCGAGCCGGGAAGCTAGCGGGAGGTGAAGATGGGGGTGCGGCCCCCGGGAGGGCGGGGCGGGGCGGCGGGATGCCCGGGTCCCTCCTGCTGGCCATGCCCACTCACCGCAGTCGTTCCCGGGAGGCCTCAGCGGCAGTCGCCGGGCGGGGCCTGGTGGCGCTGCGGATTTTCTGCTGCGGTGAGCTGGCGGGTCAGCGCCTAACAGGCTGACAAAGGGGGAGGCTTGGAGGCCGAGTCCCGGGGTGTCGGCGCACGCGACGCGAAGACAGGGGTCCGCAGGGTCGAGCTCAGTCTCTCGGTCTGCGTGCCCTACGGAGGTGGGAGGGGCTGGGGTGGACGCCGCGCTCTGCAGAAGTGGGGGGTGGGGGGCAGGGGTGGGGGTGGGACGGAAGAGGCGCTCAAAGGCCTACATTTGTATCACTACAAAGGAATAGCCACAGACCCTCTGTCCTTAGGTGACCTGCGGGGGGGGGGGGGGTCTTCCCATCAGGGGCGCCAGAGGACAAGAAAGATGCAGTGTCGGGAAGGTCTCTGGAGAGGGTCTCTGGGTCGTTGCCCAGTTCCATTCCCACATCTCCTGGGTCCTGTGTAGCCACAACCCCCAAGACCCCCTACCCACATCAGCCCCTCTCTGCTTGACCCCACAGTGGCACACTTGAGGCACCCCATCCTTCCAGGGGAGCCCTGCACTAACACAGGTCACTCAGTTGTAGTCTGTTGCCAGGGGTTTCCTCAGGCACTGGAGACTCCAATACCATGGAGTTCAGGGTAGAGACAAAAGAAGCAAACATTTAAAGAGTGAGTCATTCCTTGGGTGTGACCTTGAGCAGCAATACCTTAGAATTCCTGGGGGTGTGTAACCTGACCAGGTTGGGGGTGCTGACCCATCCTGTTAGTCAGCACGGGGCCCTGACAGCTGGCCTACCTGGCTCTGTCACCTCCAGTCAAACTCAAACTGGCTCTCTGCCTGTGTTCCTTGAGGCTTTGGGGCCACCGTCTCCACAGGCCCCCCCATTGACTCCCTACTAAATGAGGGCCTTGATCAGAAGCAATATTGTGTGGGTAAACTCGACGGTGAATAGCACCATTCAGTGAGCACCCAGATGCAGCTCCTGGCAGGCGTGTGAAAATCAGGGGAAGCAAATACCCCAGAGTTCAATATTCAGGGGAGGGGGGCAGACACTGGCCAGGCCATGAAGGACAGGTCCTGTGTGACCCCCCACTGGCCAGGTACTAGTCGCCCACACCACACACGGCTGCTTGCTGCCCCAAGGTGGACATTGAACGGACAAGGCCGCTAAGCGTCCATGAGGCAGCTGGTCCCAGTGAGCAGGCCACATGAGCCCCGCAGGGCTGCTGCAGGGACATCTGACCCCACTGTAACAGGGTGGTCCCCAGGAAAAGGGGGGCTCCAGGTTCCCTGCTCCTTTCCTGGGGCCCACCCTGTTACGGTCCTAGCATTGAAAATTGGGGGTGAGAGTTCACTTGGGGTGCAGATTATAAGCTGCTTTTCACTCCCCACATGACACCAAACGCGTGTTCTGTTTTGTTTGCGCACTAACAGGCGGTTGTCCAGCGCCTGGGGCTGGACAGTGGGTACCTGGGGCTGAATGTGGGTACCTACCAGCACGGCGCTCACACCCCATGGGGAAAGGGCCCCATTCCACAGGACTGCCCCGCCTCACACCCCATCGCACATTCCAGGCCCCTGGGATGTCTGCCGCTCAGCCATAAAACAGTTCCCAGGAGCTTCTCCTCGGGTTGCTAACTTGCCAGAGTGACTCACAGCACTCAGGAAGACACCGTGGTGCGTTACTGATCTATTAGAAAAGATATGCAGTCGAGCAGACACCGATGAGAATATGCAAGGCTGGGGAGGGAGGCTGAACACCAAGTCCTCCCTGGGCAGTTAAGCACTGAGCGCCTTGATGCCTTCACCCACCTGCAAGTTCCCTGGGACCTGGTGTGGTTTTTACCAAAGTTCCATTATGTAGACACAACTGATAGAGTCCTTGGTCCTGGGAGACCCATTTATTCAGTGGGGCTAGAAGTCCCAACCCTCTAATCCTATGACCGAGCCCTCTGGCAGTCAGCTCCCAGCCAGGGAATAAGGGGGCCTCACCTACAGCATAAACAGATAGGGTTGAGGGGGGCCCCCCTTCACCCCTGACTCTCAGGAAATTCCGAAGTGTTCTGGGTCCAGAACTGGGACAAAGGCCGTGTGTGTGTGTGTGTGTGTGTGTGCGTGCGTGCAGGTTTTACTATACCATAGTGTCACAGAGATCTTTCCAGACTCTGGCTTCACTAGAGAATTCCATTCATTCACCCCAAACATGCGGCTCCTGCCTCCTGTGGGGCATGGGAACTTTATCTCACTTGTTAGTGGGGAAGGGGAACCTCCCGCTGTCCTCAAACTCCTGGGCTGTCCAACCTCCCCCAAGTGACAGGCTCCCCAGTTTTCCAGGGTGTTGCTCCCCTGCTCTGGCATGTGGTATTGACAGGACACATAGTGTTGCTCTCTGCTGTTCACTGCTTTGCAGGTCCAATCATCCAACGGCAGCAGCATAGCTGTAGAACAGAACCATGATTTTAGTGACCAGGGGTCACCGCGGGTCCCCAAGCCTGCTCATGTGAAACGGTCTGGTGTGTACTCACGCAGAGGCAGAGCGGACTGTGTGTGAAAGAACTTTGATAGGACTGGGGTGCCCAGAGAGAGGTGAGGGGCAGAACACTCAAAATTACACTTCCCCTGTGGGCAGATGGCCAAGCAGTGTCAGCCGAAAGTGAGGCCCGGAAGGCCCAAAGCACGTCCAAGTAAGGCACCTTGTGGGAACTAGAGGACGGGAGTGAAAAGGGACAGGTAAGCCTCGGAGGGAAGGAACAAAATCAAAACAAGCTGCCGCTGCCGGGCTCTCCACACGTCTCTTGCGTGCATCTCTCATCCACTGTCTTCCCATGCCTCCATCCCAGCAGGGCCAGGTGCGAGTCAGGTGACAGGAACAAGAGGGATCTCTCCTTCCCCTGAGCCCACCTGGCCACTCGCTCCACCTATGATGATGGGGGTGGGGTAGGAGACATGTACTGATCCTGACCCCCCGCCCCAGGTGTGAAGACACCACTGTCCACCTCTACCAGTTTCCTGGGCATCCTAGTCTTCCACAAGCCATCGTCAATCACAGGACCCCATTCTCTCACGGGGGAGTCTGCAGTCACCCCCTGTGGAGGCTCGCTGCCTCTGCCAGTCTCTGGCGACTTCAGCACTCCGATCCCAGCCTTCCACTTCCAGTCAGGCTCTCAGCGTGTCTCCTGTCCCCATCTCTCTCTCCCCGGGATGTGTATCACTGAGCCAGGGCCCACCTGGATGGTGGTCTCCGCAGGCTGGCAAAGCCCCTTTTCCCAGTAAGGCACCCTTGACCGGCTCCCGGGATGAGAAGGTAGACACGGTCCAGCCAGGCACCATCTCTGATGAAGGCAAACTGCTGCTGGCCCCATGGAGGACAATGGCTTGGTCTCTCTAGCTGCCAAGGGCTTGCTTGATTCCACCCAGCAGGGAGCTCACACCTGGATTCTAGCTGCAGTTGGAGTCTCGCTGCTGGCTGTCTGCAGCTGTGCAGTGGCCAAGCAGAGTAGCAGTAGGATCCTGCGCCCAGACCTGAGAGGCCAGGTCTCGGGGTGATGATTACCTGAACAGTCAGACCCCCCACCCCAGGGATCTTCCCGCACACCTGGGGTCTTCCACAAGTCACGGTAAAATCACAGGACCCCAGCACATGGGGGGGAGGAAGACTGTCTAGAGGCCCCTACGCTCGGTGGCTGCCACCTCCCTCCAGCTCTGCCGAAGCCCTCACAGACCCTTGCTCTCCGTCCTTGGGACGGGTCCAGATCAGCAAACTCCCATGCAAAAACGTCTGTAGCGTTCTCCCTCCTGTCTGTGGCTCAACCCCTTCCAGTATCTGCCACCTCAGTCACTAACCCTCACTTTCCACATCTTTCTGGAACTTCTCGAAAGGTCTTCCCAGCCAGCACACCACGGACAGGTTAGAGGTGTGCCATGAGGCTCAATATACCCTCAGCTTGTGGTGTCTCTGGCTGCCACGGGCTTGGGCTTGTCGTCTACCTTAGCACCCCATCAAAACCCTCGGGTTCCCACGAGTCCAGGGGGTAAACCCCGCTGGCACCGAATTCAAAGACTGAAGTGAGGGCCTTACTTTCCACGCGCTCACCTCTCGGCTTCCGCCATGTCGTGTTCTCAGCAACTTCCACTAGGGCCTTTTCGTTCTCACTGTCCATGGCCACAGCTCACTCATCCTCTCCAATCCCCAATCCCCGACGCTCTCTAGACCCTCTAGACCGATGACCTGCCTGTCTTGTTTATAAAGCCGGAAGCTGCCATTGGCTGTGGTCCCTTGTTGCCATTGTGGATTTATGCATACAGAACTGGGGTACAGGCCAGAGGTAAGTTTGGCGAGGGGTGAGAGGACTGGCCAGAGACAGAGTGGGGAGCAGAACAGGCCGATGTGCTGAAACACACTGCTGAGGGGAGCAGTGGGGAGACAGGAGAGGCCCCCACACCATGAGGGGCCCCTCCCTGGCTGGGATCAAACTCATGCTGCAGGGGCTGCAGACAGCATCACAGTGCCCCCCCCCCAACCCCTTGGCCACCAGGGAGGGCCCAAAATTAGTAAAATGTTAAAAAAAAAACAAAACAACTTTTAACTTCCCATTTCTCAGTCCCATCAACCACATTTCAAGCACTCAGGGTGGCTCCCTCCATACGCTCCCAAACATGTCCGCGTGGACTTTATTCCAGGAAGCAAGGACTGCTAATGTTTGAAGACCTTTATGAGCTTTATCATATTAACAGAGCCAAGGAGAAAAAAACAAAACCTACAGCCATCCCAAACTTGCTAAGAATATTTAAAAATATGTACTCCCCCCCCCTTCCCCTTTTTAAATGAACAGGTTCAGTCACAACAGTAAAGAAGAGAACGCTTGCAGACGGGAGCTGGGAAGGGAGAAGCTGCCTATTTATATATTTTAAAACACAGGCTCCCGGGGGCCCAGGGGTTGAAGCCTCAGCGCTGCCTCCAGGGAGTGACCGCAGGACGCAGCAGACCCCTCCTGTCTCCCCGCTGCTCCCCTCAGCAGTGGGTGTCAGTGGATCCGCCTGCTCTGCTCCCCACTCTGTCTCTGGGGTGTCCTCTCACCCCTGCACCTCTGGCCTGCACCCCATTTCTTGGATGCACAAATAAATGTTTTTAAAAATTAAAAATAAATAAAAAACAGAATAAGTAGGAGATTATTCTTGGAAAGCTGCCAGACATCTGGGCATCTCTGCATCTCCCACGCTGAGAAAGAATTTTTCTGCTTTCTGCTGTCAGGGTGTCTAAAGCCTCTACTTCCAGGAGTCCAACTTCTTTAAACCTTGTTGACCTTCTATTATATTTCGGGGACTTTTGGGGTGGGGCGGAGCTATTTCCCCAGGAGCGCCCTGGTGGGAGCCCTGGTGTCTGATTCATGAGGAAGTTCCGGAGAGCTAGACTCGACTTTTCCCCACCCCCTCGAGGGAAGGACACACACACACCCCCACCGCAGGGCTCTGCACTGGGCTGGAGAGGCGAGGCAGCAGGAGGGTGCTGCAGGCCGGGGCTCCTGTGGGCGAGTGTCTCCGAGCTGGGGCAGCCCTCCAAACCTAGCCCTCGCCCTAAAGAACATTCTCTTCGCGGTCCCTCCTTGGCTCCCCGCCAGATTCCTGAGCCGGTTCTCAGGCCTTTCCCTGCGTGGTGTGAAGAACTCGGGGTCCTTCCGAGGCGGGCCTCCCAGCTTGATGCCCAGCGCCTGATCGCACTCCGGGGCTGGGGTTCTCTGGGCCAGCAGGCAGAAGCTGAGCCAACCACCGCAGAGACCCTGGGATTCCCCTTCCTGCAGCCCGAGGGGAGTTATCTCGCCCAGGAGATGATTTTTCTTTTCCTCATGGTGCAGATTGCATCAACAGATGGTGACCTTCATCGTCCTTAAGCGAAGTAGACTGTTTTTGAAGACGTGGGCTGCGTTTTCAGGAGGAACAAGGAAGGAAATCCACTTGATTTGTAAAAACTCCCCTGCTAAATCTGCTTATCAGATGGGGGGCGGGAGAGCAAATCTTCTATAGGGGACTGGATAAATACAGAATGAGACCTCTAGCTAATGTGCATGCCCAAAAGAAAAAAGGAATTAGGAAGCCCTATTTTCCTAAATGGAAATTTTTCCAGGATATGAGCCCACTCTGGCAGAGGGAAGATGCAAAACAGTCTACCAGGATGTAACATTTTACCGGAGAAAATGTGAAACTAAGAGAATGCATTGCTACCTCGTTAGGTTTGTTTGCACCAATACTGCAAAGATAAACAAGAAGCCTCCAAGTGGGGACCTGCAGGGGAGGGGAGGTGTAGATGAAAGTCCCCACACACAATTTAAAGCTCTGAGTGTATGAATATATCACTCATTTAAAATCACATCTATACATAGGTTCCATGACTCAGTGGATGTCAAATACTTAGCAAAGGCTCATGCTAATTACCACACAATGTATAACATATACTCATATTTTATGAAATATGCAACAGAGAGTTCCGGAAAGATGCAAAAGAAGGTTAAGTTTAAAGTCGGAGGAGTAAGAGAACTGGGTGACCACGGAAATGTATCTTTCACCTTTTTGTGGGTGTGTGTGTCGGACTCCTCTGCCAGGGTGAGCGCACCCCCAGATCAGAACACCACTGTGCATTTTAGCCAGTTATTCATCATCTGCCAGGCCAGGGGCCTCGTGCATGACAAATGAACGCAGATGCCTTTTCCTGCTGAGCTCTGGGGGGAGACAAGCAGTAGCCACCACTGGCCACAGGCCACAACTCCTGCTCGCAGCTAAAAACAGGGCTGTCAGTCTGAAGACTTGAAGGCCAAGATTGATTGGTGCGGTGCCGGTGCCCAGCGGAGGGCAGGGCTGCTCTACCTGCCGTGGAGACCAGCGCCTGGTTCGCCCGCCAGGAGGCAGCCACCTGTGAGCTAGCCGAGATGACCACTGAGTGCCCGGGAACCCACCCTGCCACCCAGAATGCGGGATGCCGGTGCAGATGTCTCTGACGGCATCTCACTGAACTGAGGCGCTCACCCCCTGCACTTTCTCTAAATTTGAAGTAAAAAGGTGTAACTCAAACTGGCGCACGGAGCAAACCCTGTGGGGGTGAAGTGGGGGGCACCCTGGCCTTACCTAGCCCCCTAGAGCTGGTGAGGGGACAAGGCTCTCACCCTGGACTGGAGTGGGGGACAGTTTCTTCCTTTCTGCGTCTTATATTCCAAGGGAATGCCCTGCTCTGTGTGAATCACAAGGGACATGCAAGAGGACAAGACACAAGGTCATCTGAAGGTCATCACCCCTCCCTGCACACTTGAGGCAGAGGAGAGGAATGTGCAAACAGAAGCCAAGAGCAGTTTTGCATAGCTAAAAAAAAAAGGGTGCAGGAAGGATGGGGAATTTGTTAGACCGAGTAGAACTTTCTGAGGGGGTCACATCTGAGCTGAGGCCCAAGGAGCAGGCATAAAGCCCCAAAGGAGAGGGACCGGCCAGAGAACCTGGAAGGCTGGGCACAGTGTCCGAAGAACGCAGGCATAAAAGAGGCTCCTCAGTGTCACGAGAAGGCCGCAGGGAAGGAGCAGACAGGCTAGAGACTTGAACACTCAGGCAGCCTCTGGGCGAAGGACCTTGTGCGTGTGTGCTGCAGCGGAGAGACGATCCGCCTTTCTTTCTTTTTCAGCTTTTTGGAGGCCTCTACTGCAACGCCTCGCGCCATATGCCCAAGAAAAATTGGAGCTGGTTCGCCAGTGAACCATCTTTCTGGGGGAAAAAATAAGAAAGAGGTAAGGGGAGGGGTGGAAATTCAGTCTAACCCTGAAAAGCACAACAATGTTCAAGAATAAGACACCAGGAAACAGCTGTGGGATGCTGCGTGGGTGGAGATTTCTTACACAGGAGACGGAGCACACGTGGGAGGCGGTGAATTGACTGTGTTGGAGCCGAGCTTCTGTTGCTGAAGCCTGAGTGTGTGCCCCACACACAGCGCCTCTGTGAGTGCCCAAGGTGGCAGTGCTTGGAAGTGGGGTCTCAGATGATGGTGAGGCCGTGGAGGTGAGTCCCAAGAGTGGGATTAGTGTCTTTAAGCAGGAGACGGGGCGCTCCCGCCTCCCTTCCGCCAGGCTGGCCTTTGACAGCCAGGAAGTGGCATCACCAGACACTTGAATCCACCCACACCGGGGTCTCCCACTTCTACCCTCTAAAACTGCTCGAAATAAATGTCCATGGACCACACAGGCCACTGCTACAGTCTCCATGGACTGAGACATTCAGCAAATGTTACTGTCGGTGAGGGACAGATCAGCACGTAAGCACGAAGGTGTGCAGGCGGAAACAAGGGGCCGCAGAAGGGACAGGCACCGATCTGCTGTGTCTCTGGGGCGGATGCACCCTTGAGGCCTGGGATAGAGAGGGGGACTCTAGAAATCCACTCTCCCCACTATGGGAGAGAGAGAACAGTGGCCGGGGCACCTGGGACCTGGGGGAGCAGAGGGGTGAGAGGTGCGGACCACGCTCGCAGGGTGGAGGTGCCAACTCAGAGTTATAAATGCCTTCTCCTGTCCAAGTCCTCAGACAGTTTTTAAGCAAAAGCTAGGGTACAGGCCAGAGATGGGGAGAGGGAGACGACTCCCCAGAGACAGAGCGGGGAGCAGAACAGACGGATCTACTGAAATCCACTGCTGAGGGGAGCAGCGGGGGGACAGGAGAGGTTGCTGTGCCGTGTGGGTCCCTCCCGGCCGGGATCAGGTTCAGGCTACAGTGCTGAGACTTCACTGTGCTGCCAGGGAGGCCCCCATGATGTCACCTTTTCTCCTGAGATGTCCACCACCCACAACACTGACGGCTGAGCCAGACACAAGGCACGTCACTTCCTGTGGCCCTGCGGGAAGCTGATGATGGCAATGAGCGCAGATGCTCACCTGTCACCCACAAGGAGACTCCACGGGTCTTGCCCCAGGCCTCTTGCAGAGACAGAGTCATAACAAACAGCTGCTGTCAACTTACTCCTGACCAGCCGGGCCGCTGGACAGAGGGAGCCTTTGAACGGGCTTCCGTGACGCCCCACCTACTGCCGGAACCAGGTTTGGTGGGTCGGGATATGTCCCCCCCACCGGCCAGGAGCCACTCCCGGGCGACACCAGGCCCTGTTTCTGGAACAGGGATCACAGGACCTTTCATTTCTCAGATAAACTCAGGCCCAGGCTGTCGGCCCTCGTGATGTCTGTATATTCTTAGAACGGGTCAGGGTGGGGCCTTTCAGGAGAGACTGGGCCAGGCTTTGTGTGGGAACCTGGCCCGTAGGGATGCTGGCCAGCTGAGCTGTCCCTCTACGGCCCCGATGGGGAGCACGTATTCCTCCCCCAGGGCTACCATGGAAGCCCCCAGTCTGGCTTCCATTCTTCCCTTGGGCACCTTGTCTGTGCAGCTGTGGTCGCAGGCCAGGAGTGTGGAAGGGCAGAAGACACATCCTGTCCCTGCAGAGGCACGCAAAGACCTGAGCAAGCGGCTTTGCAGTGGGAGCGGGTGGGCCAGGGTCTGGGGAGGGTGGGGTCCCACTTTAGACTGCCCCCAGGCTGGTGGAGTCCATCCCAGAGAGACCAGGAGCTGGGCGGTAGGAAGTGCTGAGGTTACCGGGGGCCAGGCCCTGAAAGGAGTGTTTTTAGGACTTGATAAAAGCTGGCTCTTGTTCAACGGGGAAAGGGAAGCTATTAGAGGCTTTCAAAACTGGAAATGACATCATCTGATTTCTGTGTTTAAGAAAACTTTGCTGGCTGAAGAAGATAGCAGAGAGGCAGTGAGTATGGACAGGAAGCCCAGAGCAGAGGGGGCCCCGGCAGGACCCGGCTGGGGGTCCTTGGTGGGCAGGGCAGAGGACTTGGAGGCACTGGGCCACCTGAGAGGACGTCACCCAGCACGTGTCTGTGGAGTGCACTGTACCCCTGCCGCCACAGGTACAGCCACAAGGCCGCGGAGGCCTGGTCCTCGGGGACCTCGGGCACCTCGTGCTTGCAGAGGACACTGAGGAGCGACCGCCTGAGCGCACAGACGGGAAGCCGGGGACTCTCAGCCGCAGGCGGTATTTGGGGGGCTGCAGGTGACCGGAAGCGGCCAGTTCTGCGGCCATCCCAGGCTGGGTGGGTTCAAAACCAGCTCAGACAGCTCGCGAGAGAGCCGGAGCCTTGGACATCATCCTCATAAGCTAGGGGACACCAGCCAGCGGGGAGGCAGCCGCGTGGCCCCTCAAATCCCTGTGTCCTCCTGGCTCTCTTGCAGTTCTGAGGCCTCCCAGTGCTCCCCACTGTCCTCCGTCGCGCTCCACTGCATTCTGTGCTGCCACGCCTAATGTGCCCAGTCTTTGGGCTCAGGGGTGCGTGCCCACACCATACTCCAGGTGTCTGCCATCAGGCGCGCACGTAAGACCACAGGTGTCAGTCGTGATACTAATTGCAGGAGGACAAAAGCCTGATCAGGGCTCTCCCCAAGGGCGCAGGGCTTAAGCACAGCGCTGTGAAGTTGTCGGCAGCCACTGCAGCACTAGTTCAATCCCCGGCCGGGGAGGTGACCCACATGGCATAGCGACTCTCCTGTCTTGCCCGCTGCTCCCCTCAGCAGAGAACTTCAGTCAATCCACCTGTTCTGTTCCCTGCTCTGTCTCTGGTGAATCCTCTCGCCGCCCCTGCACCTCTGGCCTGTACCCCAGTTCTTGTATGCATAAACGATTTTTTTTAATGCAGAATAAGAATCATCACCCCTCCCCCCCAGACAATGCCAATGTTTTGAGACATGTTTGGCGTCACAAACAGAGGAAGGGGAGAGGGTGCAATTGGCAAGTAGTGGTGGGGGTCAGAAAAGCTGTTGAGCACCCCACAGTGCTCCAGACCCTCAGCATTGAAGGCTGACCCAGCCCCAAGTCAGTGGTGGCAAGACTGAGGGATCTTGGTTGAGAACAAAATATAAAACCTTGCTTTTCATTCATTATTCGCACACAGTGAACAACTGACTTATTCTACAGCTTCTTGAGACTTCTGTACCCCAGGCTGGGGCCGGGAGGCCGAGGCAGGCCACCTGGGTCAGACCTCGGCGAGCCATCCGAGCCATCATCGCTACAGCTGGCTGACTCCCGACCGCGATGTCCGAAGTGCACTGGGAAGCCTGGAGTCTACCTGTGGGTATTCCTGGGCCTGTGCTTTGGCGAGAAAACACGAGTAGCTGTTTTGCTCTGCAGTGTCTGCTGCTCACTCCCAGCTCCTGCCTGGGTCTCATAAGCTTTCGACAGCTATTGGCTGATCGAGGCATACAAGATATGAGGCAGCAGCACATTTGGTGGGTGTGTGGTACTCCGGGGTACAAGACTGAGTGAAGGGATAGATGGGAATAGTGAATACTTGTAAGAGGGGTAAGAATGACTTGTTTTTGAATCTCTCTGATTCCTGAACTTCAAAAAAAAAAAAAAGAAAAAGAAAAACACAGCAAAGAAAAATAACTTAAAAATAGACCTGTCATGTGACCCAGCAACTGCAGTCCTTGGTATTTCTCCAAAAGCAAAAACACTAATTCAAAGGAATACATGCTCGCTGCGGCACTGCTTCAACAGCCACATTTTGGAAACGGCTCAAGTGCCCCAGGACAAATGAGTGGATAAGAAGATGTGGTAGATAGATGCGCGGAATATTACTCGGCTATGAAAAAGAGGAAATGTTGCCACTTGTGATCGCATGGCTGGAAGTGGAAGGGAAGATGCAAAACAAAGTAAGTCAGAGAAATGAATACCAGGAGATGTCGTTTGTTTGTGGAATTTAAGGAGACGAAACAAAGGGACAAACAAAACAAGCGAAACCCTGCAAGTCTGACTAGAGCCGAGGAGTGGGGGAGGAGCCCAGAGAAGGTGGGGTGTGGGCGGAGCGCGTTCAGGGAGAGCGGACACTGTGCTCGCCTTCACCGGCTCAGTTAGATCGGGGCAAGGCAGTGCTACCTCGGTAGTAACAATACAGTTTAAAAAATACTCGTGAGCAACATATGTGATGAGAACTAGGTGAGCAAGTGACCCATAAATCTCAGAAAGCAAACTTATATTTCTTTTTTTTTAAAGATTTATTTATTTATTCATCCAGAACTGGGGTATAGGCCAGAGATGCGGAGGGTGAGAGGACTCACCAGAGACAGAGTGGGGAGCAGAACAGGCAGACTGACAAAGTCCACTGCTGAGGGGAGCAGCGGGCGGATCAGGAGGGGTCTGCCGTGCCATGTGGGTCACCTCGGGGCGGGGATCGAACTTGTGTGGAAGTGGCTTTAGCTTCTTAGAGCTGTACTTTAACCCGCTGCGCCACCAGGGAGGGCCCCAAACTTATATTTCTTAACATAAATCACAAGATCACACACAGGACGAAAACAAAAAGAATAAATCTTCTCAAAATCAACAACAAGGAAAAACCATTGAACACTGCAGGAAAAAAATGTTAAAAGATTTTTCTTATTTTTACAAAGAACTGGAGTACAGGCCAGCAGGAGTACGGGGACCCACCAGACAGTGGGGAGCAGAGGAGGCAAACCCACTGGCATCCACTGCTGAGGGG